GGAGGCTGAGGCAGGAGAATGGCGTAAACCCGGGAGGCGGAGCTTGCAGTGAGCTGAGATCCGGCCATTGCACTCCAGCCTGGGCGACAGAGCGAGACTCCATCTCAAAAAAAAAAAAAGAAAATCCAGCAGGGTACACTTACAGCAAAATGTACCTTTGAAATCTGGTACATTTTGGAGGATCTAGTTTTTAGAAACAGCAAGCAGTCCCTTGGAATCAAAACTACATGAGGTGGATGACTGAGCTGAGAAAAAAACAAAAATCTGGTTCAAAAGGAAAACTTGAGTGATTTTAAAAACCTGGCCTAGCCGGCGCGGTGGCTCACACCTGTAATCCCAGTGCTTTGGGAGGCCGAGACCATCCTGGCTAACAAGGTGAAACCCTGTCTCTACTAAAAATACAAAAATTAGGCATGGTAGCAGGCACCTGTTAGTCCCAGCTACTCGGGAGACGGAGGCAGGAGAATGGCGTGACCCGGGAGGTGGAGCTTGCAGTGAGCTGAGATCGCGCCACTGCACTCCAGCCTGGGCAACAGAGCGAGACTCCGTCTCAAAAACAGTAACAAAAACAAAACAAAACAAAAAACTTGGCCTAAACTGGCACTGAAAGTAGTTATTCCTAGATAAATTTACAAAAGATAATCGAAATGATAGCAAGGTTACCAAAGTGTGGGGCCTCTCAAGGCAAGGAGACCTCAGTTCCTTGAGAGCCGGCACACCCAATAAAACAGAGACAAAAATGTCAGCAGTGCCACTGAGGAATATTGGCAGAATTGTGATAATTTGTGACAGGGCAGGAGGGGCCAACAGTTTGTAGGGTACCTGTGTCACGATGGAGCTGCAGCTGGAAACGTGTAAGGCGAAATACCACCTGGTCCCTGCTGTCCCCTGTGCTGGGCCCGGGGTGGAGGCGGAGGCGGAGGCAGGCCTGGGCAGTGCAGTGCTGCCCAGATGCTGGGTTGGAGCCAGGCCCCTGGACTTTCCACAGAAGCCTCCTTGCCTTTCTAGCAACAACCACGGCTTCAAAGGCCTGCCAAGGAGTGGATCGGGCAACCCCAGGAGCTTGTGTAGCCGTGTTGTGTGTAGCAGTCCTGCACGTCAGGGCGCTGGAAACTCCTACAGGCAATTCTAGGTTCTAGAACCAGCTCCTAAGTGGGGGAAGGGAGACAGAGGCCACCAAAGGACCTGCCTGGAGCTGGGTCCCCAAGGCCGAGGTCACAGGCACCAGGTTCAAGGACCCCCCTGTCCGCTGTCTTGGGGGTCCTTCTCAGGCCCAGACTCACCATCCACCTTCCTTTCCGCTTGGAAGCTGCCCTTTGCCCCCGCTCCCTCTTCCTGCCAAGCCTGCCCTCAACTGGCCCAGCCTTCAGTTGCCTTTTCTTGTCACCTCTCTAAGTGGCCCCATCCCTATTACTATGCCCCTGAAGCCTATCTAAAGATCAGCAGGAGCCATGGGGAGAAGGGGGCCAAGTTCGTTGAGGAAGTGACTCTGTGGGTGGCAAGGAAAGAAGGGAAGCAAGAGGGCAGGACACACTGGAGGGTGCAGCCTGGCTGCCAGGGCAGGGCACCTGCGGCAGCCCCCAGAGGCCCCCGGGGAGAGAAGCGAAGCCTCCCTGTTCCATGTGTAAGCTGCTGGGACAGCCCCGCCTGTCAGGTGGCCGTAGGGAGAAAGGAGCTACCATCTAGCACCACACAGTGTCGGCATACGGCAGGGACACAAAGACTGGCTACTAGGGAGGCTGAGGCAGAATTGCTTGAACCTGGGAGGCAGAGGTTGCAGTGAGCTGAGATGGCGCCACTGTGCTACAGTCTGCACGGCAGAGTGAAACTCCATCTCAAAAAAAAAAAAAAGAAAAGAAATGATTGGACTGACGAATGAAGAGCCTCACAGAAAGCTTCACAGTCACATGGTGATGAATTAGGGAAGTCACGGTCATGTGAGCCCCTCAGCCCTGAGTTGGGAAGGCGGGCGCAGGAGATGGGGCACCTCAGCTGCTCCGACATCTGGGCACGGCCAGGCCTTCTTAAGCCTTCTTACTCTTTGAAAACCGTCTTCCCAAGCAGAGGTTATTTTCCCCAAATTCAAAATGCCAGACGCCAAGTGAATAGTCACGTAAAAGGGATACAGTCTGTCTGATTTCAAGGACCAGGAAACTTGTAGAGTCCGAGAACCGGTTGGAAACTGAAGGTGGCCAGGTGGCATTGCTGGCTCCATTATCTGTTAGAGACATGGGTTGTATGAGGACTTGGGCCATTGCATAAGGGCCACAGAGGGCCAGGGCATCTTCAGAAACAAGGGCAGGTCCCTTGCTGCCATCCTCACACTCAGGCAGTTCATGGGGGGAAATGCACCGGCCCCGCAGTCAAAGGGGCCTGGGCCTGAATGGGAGCTGTCCTTGAGTCGTGTGCACAGGCTGTGCAGGCCCAGCACGCAGCTCCCTTGTTCATTCAGCCCCACCCCTGAAAGGCATTTCCAGAATTTAGGTCACTACTGTTGGCAGCGTTGCTTCATGTACAAACACTCTGAGGTTAAAGTTTATGAAGGGTGACCTGTTTATCAACCACTGAGTTCCAGCAGCCTCCGCTTGCAAATGTGAATTCTTATCTGGGGCTGGGGTGGGCTGGTCATAGCGACTGCTCTGACTGCAGCAGGGGCCGTGGGGGTGGGGGTCGCATGCTGGCCTGGGGTTCCTGCCATCTGCCCAGCCCGCAGCAGAGAGGCCTGGGGCTTTGAGCATGCCTACAGCGGGTTGCACTTCCAGATGCTCCCGAACCTCAGAAGCAAGGGTCAGTGAGGGACAGGGTGACCAGGGCTTTAAAGCAGCCTCAGGAGCCAGGAAAACCTGCATGAAACCCAAGCAGTGAAGCAGGAGGGGACCCGGCCCGACCCCGCCTTGCTCCAGATCCTCCTGTGCCCAGGACAGAGGGGTCTGGCTGTGGACCCCACACTCAGATCTGGGGATTGCAGTGGGATCCAGGCAATGCTGGGGCACCATGACCCCGTTGCACTCTGCCGGGTGTTTTGGGTGCTTCTCCCCTAGGCTGGAGTTTGCCGTTTAGGTCGTTACCAGGAGTCACCATGCAGCCCCTTCTTAGCTGGTTGCTGCATAGGAAGCTCCTACAGTCTATGTAAGAAGCAGGCCTGGAGGACACCCTTTCGGGCTCCTGGGTATTGGCTTCCCCCCTCCTCCAAGGACAATACCCGGGAGGAAGCACGAAGCCTGCTTTGCTGAGTGATGGGCATTTCATAAGCACTGTGAATGTGGAATGCGGAGGGCTGAGTTCTGCTGTCTTGTTTGGAAGAGGCCTTTCAGAAAGCCTTCATCTGTCAAACTCCAGCGCGGACTGTTGCCATGGTGAAAAGCGCGGGGTGGGAGGGCCCCTGGGCCTTTTCTTCTGTGGATGGCTGGATCCCCCCACAAGGCTTTTCTGCTGAGAGAAAGTGGTGATTCTGGCAGTGAGGGAGAAGCCCCAGAGGCCTGGGGGAGGTAGACCACGTGGAGTTGGGTTCCCAGCCACGCCTCTGCTTCACATTCAATGACAGAGCACGTGATTTTCCAGAGCGGCTTGCAGCTCTGTCTTCTTTCCTCAGCTATTTGAAAGCAGGGCTTGTCCAACTAGCAGATTAGAAAAGGAGATGGGACTTGTTTCCCCTACTGAAAAGCAGGGGAGAAAAGCCTTGTGAAGAGAAGACACAAAACCTGTTTGGTGACTTGTCGTTTCAATGAAAACACAAACCTCTCCAGGTGAGCACTCCCAGCTCCTCCCCTTCCTCCTCCCCCAGCAGCCCCGGCAGGGACCACAGGCATGATGAGAAGAACAGAAAAACAAGGCGACTGCTCACTCAGAGTTCACCATTCTTTGATGGCAGAAGTTTAAGAACCCAAGGAAGCAGTTTAGGGAAAAACAAGTTTACTAATCTCGCCACGTCACAGCGAGAAATACACGCAGAGAAAGTGCCTTCCTGAGGGAAGTCGCCATCGGGAAGACAGCACGGCAGTTAAGAGTTTCTCGATAAGGAAATTGTTGTCATATTTTATATTTCTCTTTCATTCCTCTTTATTAGCCATTAAATACTGATTTTCTTAGATTACCTATTGTATATTACAAAAAAACACCAAATCCCCTGACAAGTCAGAATCCTCACAGCCAGAGGTGTGGAAATTTAAAGAGAATCCATTTCTTTTTTCTTCGTTTGAGAAAAAGTCTCGCTCTGTTGCCCGGGTTGGAGTGCAGTGGCAAGGTCTCAGCTAACTGCAACCTTGACCTCCCAGACTCAAGCGATACTGCCACCTCTGCCTCCTGAGTAACTGGGACTACAGGTGCATGCCACCCGGCCGGGCTTTTTTTTTTTTTTGTAGTGATAGGGACTCACTATATAGCCCAGGCTGGTCTCAAACTCCTGGGTTCAATCGATCCCCCAACCTTGACCTCCTAAAGTTCTGGCATGAGCCACCGGCCAAGAGAATATATTTCCGATTTTTTGTTTTTTTAATAAAACAGTCAGTCTTAAGGTTTCCATAAGGCCTTGCTCATCACCTCTGCTCAGCTCTTTACAATAGCTGGTTCCAAATGGGCATCCTACAGTGGAACTCTGCACCAGGAATTTTGAGTGAGGGATCCTAAATTCAGAAGACAGCTTGTATAGCCCAGGAGGGGCTGAAGAGCAGGCAGGCAGCGTAGGCTGTGAGCCCCGTGCCTGGGGCCGCCCTCAGATGCCTGTGAGTTTGGTCAAAATGCATGAAGCCGAGGGCTTTATCATTAAACACGTGGAGAAGTTGTCCTCCGAATTCTTGATGAAAGCATGCCAGGATCGGTGTCTCTGTCTTTCCTGTCCCTTCTCTCCTCAGCCAGCCTTATAGGAGAATGCGGGCAGGGGAGACACAAAGATCAGCATTTCTGCCAATCTCGTGAAGTTGGGTATGCATGCCAGGAACCAAGTATCAGAAAGGGGAGGAGTAGGAGAGGACTGTAGCAGATGCTGTGATGCTGTGTTTGGTGTTGCCATCCGCCCACGGGACTCTGGTTTGGTCATTTGCACACAGCTTTTGGAAAGCAAAGGATATGGCTGGGGCAGTGGCTCACGCCTGTAATCCCAGCACTTTGGGAGGCCGAGGCGGGCGGATCACATGAGGTCAGGAGTTCGAGACCAGCCTGGCCAACATAGTGAAACCCCATCTCTACTAAAAATACAAAAATTAGCCCAGCATGGTGGCGCGTTCCTTTAATCCCAGCTACTCGGGAGGCGGAGGTTGCAGTGAGCTGAGATCACGCCACTGCATTCCAGCCTGGGCGAAGGTTATTCTCTCTCCCAGTTCTTGGGAAAAGGGAGACAAGACCGTCTCAAAAAGAAAAGAAAAGGATAATTTTTTTTTTCGGATTTAAGCATTAAGATAAAGAGTTTTGTAAAAGCAGAGAATGATTTACAAGCATCACTTGGGGGAAAAAGTGGGGCATTTAGGATTCATCTTTCCATTACGATTTTGCTTTGAGATATGTTTGGTCCTTCAAATTACCGTGAACCATTTGACCTTTAAGAAATGACATCATATAATTACGGCAAGGAAACTAATGCCTCTCCACAAACTGGGTTTGCCAACATAAGTACACCTACGGGTTAGTTTAGCAGCAGCTACAATTTGAACTTTGTACAAAACATATGGCTTTAATTAGTAGGGTTTTAGACACAAGAAATGACCAGGGTGACAGTCAGTGTAACCATGAACAAACAGAAGAAATTATGAATAAATAGAAGGAAAGGGTATAACCATTTAAAAGAAAGTAACTGAGAATATAGCATGCAATGCAAAAACAAGCTTAAGAAAAAAACTCTTAAATTTATTTTTCAAAAATGTGATTATGACAACGAATAAACTAATATGCAGTCCAGTTCACCCTACTCACAGTGAAATCATGGGGTCAGTGAAAAATACACCGTCCTCATCCAGAGTATTTAAAATGCCGGTTGTATCAGGACCTTCTGTTACTGAACACTGTATGGCATCTTGCTTTGTAAAGAGGAAACACAGCCCTTATAAATCCTTTAAACCAATCCAGCATTAACAGGAGTAAAATTTACAGTAACTACTTTTGAAAGGTAAAATTAAAGCACCTATTTAAATTAAGATCATCAAGAATCTATGAGGTTATTATTCATGAGAATAAGAGCTGGATGAGACTAAATATTGCATTTCTAAGGAAAAAATTATAATCATGCACTTCATGTAATTTACAAGGCAAATGGAATACTGTGAAAATGCCCTCCACAGCACATTTAAGTCTGAATTTAAGTAATACTCAATGGGAAAGAAACAGGCTCTGTTACGGTGCTGGCGGAGACATAAAAACACAAGGGTGTGACTGCTCAGGGCAGCCCGTCCCGTCTATTTTTAGAGGTCTAAGACTCCAGCCTTAAATAGTTTTGATAATAACGCTTGTGGCATAACTCAGCGTGTAAGACATAGTCTGGGAGGAAACCGGTTCTTTTCCTGCTAACCTCCTTCACTGGTTTTTCCCTATTAATTCTGAGATGTTGCTTGTGGAACATGACAGTCGGGTGGATCTTTAAGAATCTTTTGCTTCCTTCTGTTGACCTCAGAATATGCAAAACTAAAATTAGGTGATAAAGGAGATTAGTTTTCTAAAAAGTTCCATCTTCAGTGAAGTCTTGCTTACTTGGAAGCAGGGAATATTACTTTAATTGGGAACAGAGGAACATTTTGTTAAGGAAAAAGCACTTTGGGTTCACCAAAATACCATGGAGACGTGCCCTTAAGACACTTCCATACTAGGAAGTAACAATTTCTTGTATCATCCGTCAGGATGCTGAGGTGGCTCTGTCTGCCCAAGAATAGGAAGCGCTGGCATCCTGTAGTGACTTAGGAGGGTGTTCAGAAGTTTCTATTTAATAATGATACATGTGGACACACAGGGTACCTATGCATGTATATGTTGACACATATGTTTCTAAAAACATATACACACAAACACAGGCTCAGGCAAACATGTCCCAGACCGGAGAGTCTGATGAGACTTGCTTTCTCAAAATTACCGTTCTGTTTCACTCCCAAAACTCTAAGATTTCATTGCAGTTTTCAGTAAAAACAAAACTGGGCAAACTAAATTACGTCAAGAAACAAAAGCAAAGTTCCATGATGCCTCACCCTTCGAAAACAAAAGCGAGTCTATTAAGACATTACAAAATGTAACAAGCATTTTTTTTTTTATTTTCTTAGAAAAGGCGGGGAGAATCCTGAGTGGAAGGGATCTGAGCTGACTTTCATGTCATGTACTTCGAGAAAAGGGTAGATGAGACTCAAGAATGATAATCAGACCAGTCCTGCTCCTCCCAGCCCCCAAAAGATGGCATTTACACATCACGGACACCCATGGGTCTAAGGTTCTTGGGGTCTCAGTTCTTGGGAAAAGGGAGACAAACCCCCGGCCGGATTCCTTCAGGGAAGAGTCCTCTGTCCCGGTGGCTGGAGCCGCTGGTGCGGGCTCAGCCCGGAGGCCCCAGCCTGGCACCTCTAGATTCTGATGTGCCGCAGAGGGCAGGGGGTCCCCTGTCACTTCCGTTTCAGGCCAAACAGCTCCTGCGTGCAGCGACTCTCTCACCCTCTCTTCAGGGTGGACCGGAGCCCGCGCGGCCCTCACGAGCTCTCCCTGAGCAGCCCCAGCTTCCGCAGCGCCTCCCTGCGCGCCTCCTC